GCACGTAGCTGCCAGCCTCGCCCTTCCGGGTCCCAGTGATTCAGCAACTTTAGTTCCGTATTCGCGTAAAGCCTCCCCACCACCTCACCCTATCCTTTTAAGCCCTTCTTATTGGCTCTTTGCTTGATCTCTCATATCAAAACCTGCCCTGCCCTTTTTCCCTATATAAGCTCCAACACCCTTGCAATAAATGGAGTTCCGGCTTTGACCACTCTCCTGGCTCGGTGGTGTTCTTTCTCGGCCCCCGGGGAGGAAGGTCCTGGGGGGGAAGGGCCGTGCCAGCGACACTCATCATCCCGCTCAGCCCCAAAAGGGACCCCCGGCTGGACCGGGGTCTCTTCCCGCTCGGTTTTGTCAGCCTCTGGCTCAGGGAGGCCCAGCACACACCAAGCATAAAATTGTATTACCCTACTTTTTTTCTTTAATCACTTATTACCATCTGAAATTATATTAATCTACCTGAATTTTCCCCTTTTCAATCTGTACAGTGCTGTCAGAATGTTACTTCTGTAATTAACCTTTTATATCACCAACTACTTACAATATAAAGCCCCAACTCCTCAGTCATGCATTCAACTACCTGTATCATTTTGTCCTCAAGCAACTTTTTCAAGATTGCTTATAACTATTTTCCAAATTACTGATTTTCCAATTGTAACTCCACAGGATTAAAAAATTGGTAGCATTTGTTTGTTATCTATTTATTAATTAATTAATTAATGGCAGGGGGAAATGGTACATACATTGCTCAGATTTTGAACAAAGGATATTTACCTAAGAGAAAAACTGAATCTTGAAAATGTAGTGTTTAACATTTTGCAATAAGCAGTAATATGAATAACATGACAAATCAAAATACCTGAGTCTTGGTTTTTATACTTTTTGGAAGACAGCGTCCAGGAGAAGCAGCTTTGACTTCATCTTTCAACTTGGTAATATTTTTTGTCAAAACCTCTAAAGTTTTCATTATTTCTGCTTTATCTTCAGACTTCATTGCTTTGTTTTTCTCCAGTTTTGAAATTAACATCTGACAAAATTTTAAAAAGAGAAAAATATTACAATAATTACTTCTACGATTATTAACGAAACAAATACAACAAAGTAAGTATAAAAATAATACTACTTTTAGTTTATGTATTCAGGAAAAGGCTGACAATCACTAAATAGTTAAAAAGTAGTAAAATAGGAGATTTAGTGATACTAACTATATCTCAACTCAAGTCATACTTTTGGTTTACTTTGTGAAGAACTATATTACTATTTGGATCTCCTTAGAACATAAGGTCAGTGCTTGCTTCAGCAGCACATACACTAAAATTAGAACCTAAGTTCAAAGTACATAACCAGAAGAAATTCAATTCAATCCCTGAAAAGCTGCCAATTTGAAATATCAATAATTTTACTTTGTAATCCATTTGCTATTACTGCCTCTAAGTGTTCCCACTCCAAATGTAGTCTGCAACCCAGAAAGAACCAGAGGAAAAGTTTTGTAATTCCTTCCACATAATGAGATATTAGAAAAATTGAACGTTTAATTACTGAATGATTAATTTCTTTGTCCTAAGAAACAATAATTGGCTAGCCTGAGAATGATATCCCCAACCTGGATAGGAAGCAAGAAGGTAAGTAAGGTAATATGGAGTTGAAGAAACCACAGAGTACTACAGATTTTCTGAGTCATGGTGACTTCGGTTTTTGGTTTAAACACTGTGATTACTCTTTATCAAGTATATCCAAATTTAAATTAGAAAAGACATAATTTTTAATATTTTTAAGTGTCATACTGCTAACCTTCATAACCAGACATAATCAAGAAATGACACTTATTAAGTGTCATAGATTACAGGAATACTGTCCAAAAGAAATAATGCAAGTCACATAGTAATTTTTAATTTTCTATCATTCACATTAAACAGATAAAAAAGAAACAAGTAAAATAATTTAATAATATATTTTATTTAACCCAATATATCCAAAATGTCACATTTCAACAAAAATTATTGAGATGTTTTACTTTTTTTCTTTGTACTACATCTTTGAAATCTGGTGTGTATTTTACACTTAGCACACCTCAATTTGGACTAGACACATCCCAAATACTCAATAGTCAGATATGGCTATCTGCTACAGTGCTGAACAAGACAGGACAACAGGATCCCAAGCCAGTAAAGAAAGGTACACATCAACATTAAGAAAAAGTTTCCATTTCATTACCTATTGAACAAACTACTGTGCAGCAACATAACTGAATAATATCTAATTTTCATTTCATGTTTAACCATAGTGCCATTTAAACTATACCCATCATTTGGTGTATGCTCTTCATCCCCAGTACATTATCATTAATAAATATTTCAGTTTAACTATTACCAATTACAGTAAATCTGTTTCTCAGGATTACCATATAGTTTAAGATTAAATTCACTAAAAATTGTAGCAGTTGTAAATATATTTTGCCAAATCTAACTTTAATATTTTACCTTCTGTGTTTCAATGTGCTTTTCTAAAATTTCTTGTTTTCTTTTCCTTACATCCTGCTGAAGTTTCAGTGCCTCCTAGAGTCAGGGATCAAAAATATCAACAGAATAATACTAAGGAGAAACAAAATTATTCAAAAGGAAAAAAGTGGTTGTAATTACAGAAGCTTGGCAACAAAAGTTATATGCAAAGTTTTGCTATTTAAGCTTAAATATGAATGTAAGTTTCAAAGATCAATTAAGCGAACCTTCCCCTCAAAGAAAAAAATGAGTATTTACTGCTATAAATAAAAGTTCGGTGGCAGCCAACACACACCATTTAGTCTTATTTTGCGATAAGCACTGGAAAAACATACACAAAGACAAGCTTTCCTATATACAAATTCTGTGTACTATACTAGCTGTACTTACCTGTTTTTTCTTCTGTGCTTCATTATCAACTGCAGAGGTGGAAACAAGTAAGGTTTTTTGTGCAGCCTTCAAAGCAGCTGGATTATACACTGTTTTTGTTAGGCCAGTAGATGTAGACAACACCTACCAATACAAATTCAACTTCTTAAACAATGTATCAACAACTCACGACTTCCTAAGTCCTATTTTCCATACGACTCAACTTCAAAATACTGTCAAAATTTAGTATATTGAACTAAATACATTATATACGTAAAGTAACTAAATGACATTTGGTGATTTGAATCACATTTGGAAGGGGGGTATTAATAAGGAATAAGCCCTAACATGAGAAATTTTTAAAATAACACCAAATATCTATAGAAAAAAAGGCAACGGCAAACAAAAAAAGTCAAATAAAGAAAAAACACTGCCATTACCATATCACTGAGAAAATATTAGTTACTGAATACATTTACTACTATTCATCGTAACTAAAGAGAAACTACACAAAAGAGCATGGCACAGGAGAAAACTAGATGCTGTCATTCAAACAATTTAATACGATCGTTTGCAATTTGCTTTCTGAAACTCTACTTCATTTGTTCTCCATTCCTTTACTAGCAATGCTCATTCTGCTTGAAGTCAACATAAATTCTCTCAAATGCAACTGGGTTCAGCATAAAATAATCCCTAGTCATTTCTCTCTTCTGCTCTGGTCATTACATAAAATTTTATTTCTTCATCTATCAGGTAAAAATGCTATTGGCTATTTTTAGTTAGTATTAGCTATTTACTAAATATGACATAATATATTAATTTAGTGTCCTTCTCCCTGCCTATACTGTAAAAGCCTTTTAAAAACAAAGACCATGCCTTTCTTTCTCTGTGCTTTTTCCAGTTGCTACCAACTAATTATAAGATCATGGGTAAAATCAAGGACCTTTTTGAGCCTCAGTTTGCTCATCTCTAAAATGAGGAAGTTTGACTTAATGCTGTCAAAGTTGTTTCAAACCCCAAAAGTCATTCCATGACGGTAGGGATTTTTTATTTTTTTTTCCTTTTGCTTGGTTCATTGCTATACCTCCAGTGCCTACGACAGTGCCAGGACACACGTTAAATATTCAACAAACATTTTTGCACTAAACTAAACTGAAATAATTGTAAGTCAGAGTGGCAACCTTTCCTATATAAAGGTCAATTAAAAAAAGAAGTGTTTATAGGTTGCCTTTTTAATTCTTCAAAAGCAAAACAGTTACAAATTCATGGGGTGGCTGGTTACTGGTTAGTAAAAAGAAGCCTAGGGATCCCTTCAGGGAGATCTACAAATGTTATAATAACTAAACATGAAACCATGTGTGTGAACACCGTAATTTTCCAGAGGAAAAAACATTGCTTCTAAAAGTTTTAAAGGAATTTATGACATTTACAAAGGTTTAAAAGGTTGACACTCAAATGGCAAATTTTCAATGAGAAAAAAGGCCCTACTTCTTAGCTACTAAAATGTTAACATTGGGGAGTATCAGAGAAGTAGCCCACCTGCTAATCTTTCATCAAGAAATTAGATTAGAGAATATCACAAAGCTTAGGCAACTCATCAGTATTCTAAGTAATGAAGAATATCTTAGCCTCTAAATGAAATAAAAACCTAGAATACTATAATTTTACTAGTTCCATACAACACGATTGATGTTTAAAATAAAGGTTTTTAATACTTAATGTGTAGCAAAATTTGGTTTACCATTTTCTTCAATGATGAGAATTAATACTCATAACACTAACGAATATGAAATAGTTGCATTCATTAAAATATGGAATAAACAGATTTAGTCTGAAATCTAACTTCAATGGCCATTCTCTGTAATTCTAGGAAAAAATGTCTTCCGTGCTTCCATACAACACCACAAAATGCCAATCTGTATGAATATACAAATATGAGACAGTAACTTTATAAGGAGAGAAAAAAAAGAAAATCTGCTGAGAACAGTCAAATTGAGCATTTCATAAACTATTTTCTTCATGAGGGTTCCATAACAAGTTGAAAAGTTGTGACCAAAAAAGTTTCTGTACTCAAACTGGAAGCAATAAATACCATAACCCTATTTTCTAGTTTCAAATGTATATTATCATAATAAAAGCAGTGAGAGGCCCAGAAGTAAAGAAACCCATATAGTTTGTTTTAATAAAGCATTTCTCCAACTTCAGTGAGTAGGGAACACTCCTTTCCAATGAATTCTTAACATCTTAGGAAAGAATATAACAAGAATGAGAAGACTCCTTTATTCCTAGAAGCATTCCCATTCCCTTGTTTCGTCCAGGAACTTTCTTCTGTAAAAACAGAACATCTGCTAATGTATTTCATTGAGCCTAAAACTCAATGACTAAAAGACATACTGTTATATTTTATGTACCCCTAACTAAAGAAAAAAAGGCTGCCAATTACAGCCATAAACACCAACATCTGTAAGATGCAGCCCAACTTCAGAAGTGTTAAAATGTAAAAATATGTCTTAGAAACAATGAACTATATGATCACAAATATTTGCTCACTATTTGAATCCACTTGGTTCTAGAGTTTAGACAGCTAAGAGTTGGATAGCCAGGGACATCTATATTTTCAAAAGATGAAAATCTATTAAAAATGAAACCAGCGAAGGGAAGTGACAAACCTAACAGAAAAAAAGATGCTACAATTCCTAAAAATACATTCAAAGGATAAACAGTGGCCTTCCCTAACAAACTACACCTTCTCTATTTTCCAAATGGATTTCTGCATGTGCTATAATTTTTACATATTGACTTCACCTCTAGTGACCTTATTGCACTCACTTGTTAATCCCAACTGTGAATTCTTTTGTATTTTCTACATACACAATCATGTCAACTATGAGTCCTTTCCAATCTTCATACGTTTTACTTCATTTTACTGCCTATCGTACTGGTTAGACCGTCCAGTACAATACTGAAAAAAAGTGGAGTAAACATTCTTGTCATTTTCGCCTGATCTCAAAAGGAAAGCATTCAATATTTCAACATTGAATATAATGTCAGAGGTAGGTTTTTTTTTTCTTTTTGCAGATATCCTTTGTCAAATTAAGGAATTTCTCTCTATTCCTACTCTGAAGAGTGTTTAATGTAATTAAATAATGAATTTTATCAAATACTTTTCTACCAAGATAATCATGTAGGGTTTTTGCCTTCCTTATTGTTAATGTGGTCGATTAAATTGATTTTCAAATATTAAATAAACCTTGAATTTCTGGAATAAATACTACCTGGCCATGATATGTTACGTAATTTACGTATCACGGGACATTTGCTAATATGGTTTAAAATATTTGTGTCTATGTTCATGACAGATATTAGCCTATAACTTTCCTTTCTTATAATATCTTTGTCAGGTTTTGGTATCAAAGTATGCTGAACTTAGAAGATGAGGTGAAAGGTACCATGTGCTGTGCTGTTAAAATCTGTATTACTAACACCTCTGACTTTCCCTAACAAGACAGAGGTTGTAATCCATTAACACCTCCTCATTTTATTTCCTATATAAAATCTTACCAGCCAACTACTGTTAGTACTTGTGAAAAAGAGAAAACAGCTCTTTCTCATGGATAAAAGTGGAAGGAAAAAAGTATTCTGTAAAAAATTACTTATTACAAAAAATTACTACAATTAAGTTATCCACTATTCAAATTGGCATTTGAATAACCAATACCCAGGCTGTAATTAAATACAAAAGAGATAGAGTTAGGATGCTTAACATCCACACTCACAATAAGCAGCTCTAACAGGTTTTCAAAGTACAAATACCTGTTTTAATGCAATAAAAAGACAGGATCTTAGGAGGTATGTGTAGGAAGCTTATTAATACAACTACCATATGGTCAATTTTTACATTAAGTAAATAATCATTTGTTCAGTAAATCTGAATGTTCATTTATAATAGTCGCTTAAAGTAGCACATAGTTTGCATTCTATACCAATACCAAGCCTAACTGGGAATTTCAGTGAAAAGAATAGGGTTTTAATTTAAAGTTAAAATGTATAAAATATTTTTAGAGATTAACAGGTTTTTTCTTTCAAGAATACTAAGTACTCCTTTTTTAATCCACTGGTCTATCACATTTTTTACTCTTTTTAAAATTTTTTAACTCATTTTTTAATTCACAAATAAAAATTGTATATATTATGTACATGTTCGGAAATACCGTCATGTGCTGCACATTTCAGATAACCACAGACCATATGTACAATGGTGGCTATACCATATAGCCTAGGTGTGAAGTGGGCTATACCATCTAGGTTGTCAGTACATTATAATGTTCACTCAATGACAAAGTTGCATAATAACGCATTTCTCAGAACGTACCCCGTCATTAAGCATCCAATGACTTCAGCATCGCGTGACTGTATATACAAGGGTACTTCAAAAAGTTTGTGGAAGGATTCGTATTATGCTTTAATTCGATTTTTCCACAAAGTTTTTGATGTGCCCTAGTACATTACAGAATGGCTAAATTAAGCTGATTAACACTTCCATTACCTCATATACTTATTTTTTTTGTGGTGAGAACACTTAAAATCTACTCTCTTAGTAATTTTCTTAGTAATTTTCAAGAGTACAATACGTTGTTATTAACTACTGTCACCATGCTATACCACACAACTCTCGAACTTATTCCTCTTAACTGGAATTTTGTATTCTTTGACCAACATCTCCCGACCCCTAAACTCCAGCCCCTCATAACCACCATTCCACTCTCTTCCTCTATAAGTTCAACATTTTTAGATTCCACATATAAGTGGAACAAAGAGATTAAAGGGAATAGGATTAATGATTTTACAGAGAAACACTTTAACAAATGCCAAAGAAAAAACTGTGTAAGATCAGTAATCAAGTTTTGCTACAATAACTTACTTCCCAGAAAGTTCAGCAAAGCATTTTAAATAAATCATATTTTCTTGGAAGAAAAATAATTCAGGTAATAATCCTGACAGAGGCTAATGCATTAAAACATGTAAATTAAAAACAGTCAACAACATATATGAAAAGAAAGAAAACTATCATAAATCTCCCTAATCTTTATATTTAGAGTATCAAAATTAGACAACAAATCCAAATTTTAAAAATCAAAGGGTTATTAGAACAACTGCATTTTATAGTTAAGGGAACACAGAATAAGACTTGTTCAGCAACACACACACAATGATACCTGATATATCAACAGCTGAAGTGTCCACCAGTTATACCACACAATTTCCTTTTTAAAAGTTCCCTGGTAAAGATGTTAACATATCATCATGCAAAGGCACCAAGATACATTTTCAGGTTGCAAAGAATTACTACTAACATCTGTATCATAAACTTAATGTTTATTCAACAATTTAAAATTTAATAATTGGTATAAGAACATTAAATATTCAATTGATTATTCAGTTTACCTTCTTAGAATTTAGAAGGACTTTAAGTGAGATTATTTGAACAGGCTAAGTCTGTTTTTTCTTTTTAGAAACTAACCAGGATGGTATATACAGATGCCACCTTTATTCTTCCTAAATCTGTAGTAATGAAGCAGATGCACTCAATCATTATTTCACCGATCAAATCTACTCAAGTAATACCTATTTAACACCTACTGCAATATCCTAATATTTAGCAGCATCAATTACATTTTAACTTTCCTCTTTTCCAGTCTTCTCAAAAAAAAAAAATGAAATCTTAGAATAAAAAATAATCACTAAAGAGTTTACAGGGTTTGTTTATAGTGAGAGTACAATTTTACATTTGTGTATTTATCTGCTTTAACAATGACAGAGGATACGTATGGATACTAGCTTTGAGTTTTCCTCAGCCTTCAATTAAAAAAAAATTTAAATAATATCTGATGATGGAGGACATTCTCCTATTCTTCCTAAGATTTTTCTGAATGATTGCCCACAAAGGATTCTGCACCAAAACTCGCTACAGACTAGAGGAATAAAAACAACCAAAAATAAGTAAAAGTAAAACATTATTCTGTAAACAGGTTCACTAAAGATGACTAAAAGTTACATACTTATATAACTGTCTTCCTTCAGAGATTCTTCATGGTATTTTTTTTTCCCCACAAATAGCTGCTACTATTAGTGATTTTTCACAAATTCAGTTAGTGGTTTATTTATGTTTGTATATACAGTGGTTACAGATTAATAAAAGTATACTATCAATTCCAAATTTATACCCATTTTACTCTAAAGCTACACAAAACACTTAAAAAACAATAATGAAAACAGCTGCAAAACATACGACAAAAATTTTTTAAAAGCTGTAAGTACACTTCAATTTCAGAGTCCAAATCTTAATGTAACCAGATCATAAACATAAATGGGTGTTTTCGGATGTCTGAGAACTGCTCAGTACACTAAGTATATCAGATCTTAGTGTTTCTTTTATTCCTGAATTACTTAATAACAAGGAGGACAAACCTAATCAAAGTAAATAATTGATACTGCTAAATTTAGTAGCACAGACTAAGAGACAGAAATTCAGAAAACGGGGGGCACCATATGGAAAAATTTGAAGGTTTCACAGGAGACATTAGAGAGATTTTCAATCTTTAAAGAATGACTAGAAGTTAGTTAGGTAGGGGAAACTACACTCCAGGAAAACCACCACCAAAAAAAGAAAAACAAGGCAGAAAAGGGCAAGGGACAATGGGCAGAAAGGTACTCACTAGGGTAGAGAGGAAAAACTAGAGGAAAAATAACAAAACCAGAAAAATTGAGCTATTGATGAACTAACTGTGAATCAACCAAAATAATTTAGCTTAGAAACTAAAAGTTTCTCTAATGAATTAACATTAAGTCTGAGTAAGATAGCAACATCCTAAACTAGAGGAGGGAAATTCCAGGATGCCAGCTAAGACACTGCATCCAGAGGCCAGGGAACTGAAGGCAGCAGAGAAAAAGAAGTAGAATTACAAACACAAGTAAATGACCGTAAGGTGATATAAAATGGTGATATAACTTCTACAGCCGGGGACTAGGAGGTGAAGTTAATTTATATGGCAAATAATGAATTCATTTTAGGTAAAAAATAAAGTAAATGTTTAAAGTAATGCTGAGATACCCAAGAGGAAAATCTGATATACAGAATATGATTCACAGTAAAATTTCTAGAACTGCCAAAGTTTAACACAGTAAATAAGAAAAATAATATACTGAAGAACAAATGAAGATGGCAGGTCAGCTATCTCATTGTATGCTTTGTTTACCTATGAAGTTGACTTCCTATGTAATCTTCATGATGGAAAGAGCCATGGACTAGAAATAGGAGACCCAGGTTCTAGTTCTGGCTCAGTAATTCACAGTGTATAGATGAAACCATAATACTATTTGGGTTGTTGGCTTCCTTTAAGGTGAGCATATAGAAATGAAAAAGATTATCTAATTCTAATATTCTGTGATTTCACATACCTCAAATAAGACTAAAGATCAGGGCATTCACTCATACCTAAAAAAACACAAACCTCATCTACACAGAACTAAAAGATCCATAAATAATCCTAATTTAAACAGTATTTACCTCATCGTTTAAGATGAGAAATGACTAAATGTATTGTCAGGCTATATCAATAGCTGTTAGAAACAAATAAAAAACTTACGTTTACACCAGCATTTCCAATTTACAAAATACTTTTAAATAAATTGTTTAATTTAATCCTCGCAAAACCCCATGAGCAAGACAAATATTACCATCACCACTTTACTGATGAGTAAAAAGATTCAGAAAGGTTAAGAAAGCTGTCCAACATCATGCAGTTAGTAAGTGAAGAGCCAGGGCTCAAATTCAGGTAAAATTCCTAATTGATGGCCCTTTCTATTAGGCTGCCAGAGTTGTCAAATCAAAATGCCCAGTATTGCTAAAGAAATAAAGAAATTAAAAAGAAAAAAAAAAAAAAAAGAATGAAGCACATGGAAATACAGTGAGAGGCAAGTATTAAAATGCTGATGCAAAAAGTAAAAAAAGTAGGCAAATATTTTTCTTTTTCAGCAAATGGGAAGCAAAAAGGTAGGAATAAGAGATACAGATACTATTAAGAAGCAGGAGTTTGGAACTATGAAAAAAATTAAAAATTAAGATGCCACCTGAAAACATTAAAGCCAAGACAAACACATCATGCTATTCTTCTTACCTTTTCAGTTGCTGAAACAGATGGCTTTGATACAAAACCCAACCTGTCCTTCACAGATAACTTAGTTACATTCTAAAAAAATTAAAATGGACATATTCAGTGTTTCCCCAAATTATATATGTCTGTTGGGATTTTGAACATTCTGATTCTACCAATATATACTGAGTCTATGAGAATAATGATACTAATCACAAAAACTTGGGCCTTTTTTAAAAAAGAGACAGAAAGAAAACGTGTGTGGAAAAACAAAAACAGTATAAAATATTATTCAATCATGAAAAAATTATGATGTAAAATAAGAGGTTTGAGCCAGATGGTTACTAAAGTTCCTTCCACTGACACGGAATCATAAATTCTTAGTATCTTACATTAAGTAGAAAGTCTGAACATTTTGAGTATGATTTGAATAATTAAAATATATGCTTGCTTCTCGAGCTTAAAAATAAGTGCCATTCTTTCCTAAACTATGGTTGTTTAATATCCAAATACACTGTATTTGGTAATGATCAGATATTATGATTTGAGTTTTTAAAAAATAACTAATAATTTACCAATTTACATTCTGTATGTTCTTAAAGAATCACAATACTTTACTCTTCAGGAATTATCTAAGAAGATTATTTTAATAAGGTGGCATCCTTTAACTAAGTAGGATACTATTATCCTAAGTCTACTTTACACGGATGTTTCAAAGGCTGAAACATCTGGAGACCAAGGCAACCTAAATTTCAGAGACCAAGAGTGTAGAAACAAGAAACTGCCACTCAAGTGTGGAAGGAAGTAGGAAAAGAAATGTCACATGGAAAAGAGAATCCCAGAGTCGGGAATAAGTGATGCAAAGTTCTGAGAGAGCTGCATAAGTACTTGAAACAGTGTAATATCAAGCATGCTTAACCTGATGGTTTAAGCCCTCCCTTCCCAAAAACTTTCAGTTCAGTCTACTGCACAATTATCTCTGGAACAGAATTCTAGTTAAATAAAAAGATTATGGGAAAAATAAGATTTTGTGTACTGAACTTCACTCTTCAGGTAGTTTTGCTTAAATACATCTTCTCCACAAAGTGAAAGAGAAATCTTTCTCATAAATAATTATTAACTAGAGAGAAGAATTTAAGATTCAAATACAATAGGAAAAGTAAAGACTGTGAAAATGTTACAGTAATGGTTAAAAAAAAAAAAAACACCGTAAATAGACTGGTGGTGTTCAAGCATGTAACAACTATCATATTTCTGTGTAAAATATATACAATTAACTAGAAATCAAATCACCAAGGGAAACTAATTTACTGAAAACCTATTATGTGACAGGCACAATGGTGAGACTTTCCATTTACCTGTGGAAGGTCTGAACTGGCACTCTGGGCTTCTGCAGGTTCAACAGTACTTGAAGGTACTGGACCCAACCGCTCTTTGACCGACTGCTTCACAACAGGCAAAATGGGCTGCTGAACTAAAGGCTGTATTACCTCAGAACAAGAAAAAAATTTTAAACAAACTGATTAGCTCAGGAGCATGGAAAGTAACCTTTGTTATTTTATTACTAAATTGCCACATGCAGCAAGTTTTAAAAATGCAGCAGATAATGAAAATCTAACTGCCTTCCAATTTCCTTCACATATGTATATAGATATTTTCTTTACATAAAATAACTTATTTATGAAGTATCATGCACTACATAATGATGTTTTGATAAATGACAGGCTGTATATGCAATGGTGGCTAAACCATACAGCCTTGATGTGTAGTAGGCTCTATTACCTAGGGTTTGTGTTTAAGTATGCTCTGTGATATAGAGACAACAAAATAACCTAATGATGCTTTTCTCAACATATGCCTGTCACTAAGTGACGCATGACTGTACAGAAAAATGTTTAAATCCACCCTTCACTTTCTTTTAACAATAGAAAAGCAAACTGCTGTAATACACCTCTACAAGCAAGCTCACATATTGATTGATTCACTGACTGCAGGGGTGGAGGGAGGACTGAGGGGAAGAAATGGAAGAGGTGAGGAGGGGAAGAAAGAAGAATTTCCAGATGAACCTATAATCTGAATTTCTAGAATACATATAGCTACCACTTACTGAGTGCCTCCTATATGCCAGAGACTGCAATTTCTCTCTTACCTTTGGGGAAGTACTTTGTAACTGTTGGGCACTTCCTTCTCTGTGCCAATAAACCTTGATAAAGCGATTGTTTAATACTGCTTCTGTACTTGATATTGCTTTCTTTGCTTCTTCATATGTTGCAAATTGGATAAGGGCACCTTCGGGATCACCATTATAGGCAACCTAAGATTTAGAATAATAACAGTGAATTTCCAAAGGAGTCTATTGCTTCATACTGTAAAATTCCTAAAAAAGTGAAATACTGGTTCTTCCAAATAAGATTTTATCTTTATACTTCCTTACATCTATATTATTACCATAGTCTACTTTCGCTCCAGGAGAAATAGTAACTGAGGATTGTTCACAGTGTAAAAAGAGCCTTCTATATATAACAGTAGAGAATGCTGATTACACAAATGTTAAATACAGACATTCAAACAGTTTCTCTTTTTATCCCCAATTTTAATACTGACTATGAGAAATAATCCCTATATGTCAATGAATGATATGGCCAAGATCCATACAGTTTGAACAAAGCAGTAAACTACTATGGAAAGGGTTACCTCTAACTAAAACTTACAGAAAAACTCATCTGTACAATATCCCAAATTTGTAACTCTCACAATATTTCCAAGAGCACAAGAAAATTTAAAGGAAAAAACAAAAAAACAAAACCTATATAACAGCAGCATCAATCACATTTGACACGAGGAAACTGAGTGTAAAGGAACATGAGTCTATAGAACCATACAACTAATAAGTAATCTAAAATTTTTCACTTCAAATTTCCTATTCTTTCAATAATTGCAAGGTATGATACATAAATCACTGGAGGTGCGCAGCAATACGGAATACAGACTAAGGCACAGTCTGAATCAAACTGCCTGGCTCAAACCTTGACTGCTACTCTCACATGAGCAAGTTACTTTTTGTGTGTGTTTCCTCTTTTATAAATGGGGTTAATAACAGCGCCCACTCCACAGTGTTGTTTTAAGAATTAAATAATCAATGTAGAAAAGAGAGCATATAATACTCATTCAATGAATACTATTTATAATTATAAGGATAATTTTAGGTAGTAATAATTATACATTTTTTGGAATTTAAAAACATTAATTTCACCAATATGTTTAATTCAGAAAATGCTAACGGTTTCCTTTAAATTGATTTTGAAAAACATATTTTATATATAATAATGAAGGTAGTATGCGGATATAGCAAAAGGACCAATAAAGAGAAGATATCAACTTCACTAGTAATTGAGTAAATGCAAATGAAAACAATAGTGAGATACCATGTTTTGCTCCTCAGCTTTGAAAACATTTTTAGGTTAATATTACCAGTGTAGTTGTCTAGATGTAAATGTGGTAGGATCAAACTGAATTGCCATTAAAAAGATATTCAGAAATATTCATGATCAATAACTACAGGGTAACATGTATAGCCCATAAATATGTTTTAAAAGTTTGTGCATAGATACGGAAATATATAACATAAAACCTAGAATAACACACGTTACAGTATAATAATAATGTAATGATATATGAGTAGGGGAATGTGTGGGACACAGAGTTGGAAGGGGAAAGATTTCCTTTAACATCTTTATTACCCTACCCCAAACAACCATGCATTTTCCCTCTACTACTTTTATAATGGTATTTTTTTTAATGGTAAGAAAACAACTTAAGATGAGCTGCATACTCTAAAATTTATTCCTATTTTTAAAGCATTATAAAACACAATTGTTTTAGTTGAAAAGAACTGCATACAAACTGTGGGAAAATCCAACATATCATTTCAACACTTTAAACATATCACATAATGTAAACTCAATACTAAAAAAACCTCACAAGTTATATATACCCAAGCCAAGGTTTAATTTTAGATGAAATCAAATACAAATTATATTGTCATTTATCTTGAAGGATGTTCAAAAGCAGTAAAGAAAAAATAAATGCTCAATTACAAATTACATGGTATTTGGGCCCCAACAGTATATGTTAAATGCATCCCATCATAAAGGCAGCAAAAATAAATCTGACTGAAGTATTCTGCTGAAATAATTTTGAGAAACTGAGGAACTGAAACTGGTATAAGATTAGATTTTTCCAGTATAATTATTTAACTTTACTGTAATTTTATGATAGCCTCTATTATGTAAAAAGTTTATAATCATACTATCAATCAAAACTCCTGCTTTTGAAAATGCAAAATTTATTCAAAATCACACATTTTTCTAAAAGGTACAGTTTAATTTCACGTCCAATTTTCCAAATTTAGAATATTAACAAATTTTCCTTAATATTTCTTTATAAAAATAGTTTTCTTACTACATTAAGTTTTCTAAATAATTAAGCAGAAACAACAGAATAATTTTATGGCTTTTACCTGTAAGTTAACCAAGGTTCCAAATCGACTAAAATGTTCATTAAGTTTGCTGATATTATTTAATTCTGGAGGAACTTTCCTAAGTTCAAGTTTGGTATTTTCATTTCCAAACTGAACCTTCTTCTGGAAGCCTGGGCTGTTTGTTCTATTAAAATTTGGTCTGTAAATAAAAATCAAGTTATTCAATACATTAATAAATCTTGATTTTTAACAAGTACAAAGGAATAGTTTTACATACAAAATGAATGCCCAATTAAGTTCAATTTTTTTCCCCCAAACTGAAAGTACTGGTTAATAAAGGAAATTTAAAATTTCTTCCAAATAATAAAGTTTCCAAATTAGTACTGTTAGCATCTTTCACAGAAGCCAGCTGAGAAGGGTTCTGCCATATCATTTGTTACTTTCCACTTCTGATCCACTCTTACCATTCTTAGCAGGAAAGATCCTAGTACCCTCTATAAGGCAATTTGCATATAAAACATTTATTCCATTTCTGCAAAAGCTAACTTACTGAAATATATCTTACTTCAAAACTTTGATTATATTTAAAATTTGATTTTAAATTTTATTTTCTTTGATGCAAAGAACAACTGTCTCAACCTCTTTTCAGATTAAAAAAAAGAACTGTTGGAACTATAGACTATACATCTTGACACTTGAAAAAAGGACAAAACTGTGGCCCAGAGAGGTTATACTGTTTGCCTTAAATCACAGAATAATCACAGAGCCAGAACTAGTAACTATCCATTATTAAATGTTAAAGCTCTAAAAGTGAGATCCTAGTCTCCTCACAAGCGCAAATTTATAAATAATTCTATCTCATACACCTCAACATTCTAATCGTTTAACCCTTTCTCTGAAGCCTTTGACAACTCAGTGTCTACGTAGCCTCCTCAATCCCCAAACATGCCTTTTGTAGCTTCTAATAGGATTTGCCTACATGCTAAAGTCTCTTCCCAGACCTGACCCACACCATCTCCTTTCACTAATGAAAGGATGGGGGGCTCATGACTATCCTGTATATAGCTAGTATTCAATGACATGTCTAAATTAAGTAAGGAGTGTTTTGTTTTGTTTTGTTTTCCTGAAGGAGGGAGAAGTAGAAAGAGGAAAAATCGTGTCCTCAACCACCATACCATTTCTATAAGAAAATGCCTTTCTAGTACAAGACAACTAATTTAACAAATCTTTAGAAAGCAACTTACACTTTAGTTGGGGGTTGCCTATTGAACCAAATAATACAACATTTTTGAAAGAAAATACCACATTGTCATAATAAAGCTACAATCCCCAAAATCAGCACACAATAAAATTGCTCAATTTTTTCTGCCAGCTTACTTATCAAACCAATTCTTCTTTGTAGGAACTCCAGACTCCCCAGAACCAATCGTTCTTTTTCTTGATTCTGAATCCACTACTATCCTCATACTGCTTTTATTAGGAGGCTTTTCTGTTTTAAAACAAACAAAAAAAGAAAGAAAACATATTTTAGTATTTTCTGTTTATTGTATCCACTGCCTTAAGTTCATATTGAAAAAGTTCTGGCTTTTTGTTCAAATCTGCATATTTTAAAAGAAACAAATGTACAAATATAGTAATCTAAGGGATTTTTAGCCTATTTCAAATAAATTCTTTCATTTCATACCTAACTGTGAAGAAGGATCAATAATTATCACACACCAAATTAAAATGTGACTCTGTTAAGCCAACTCTTTGGGGGTAAAACCCATGTCACTGTTCTTTTCTCCTATCACCCTCACTACAAATAATTAAATATACAAATAAATAACAAATCATCTTGAGGCTTTACATTTATAGTTTTGAAATCAAATACACAATCTAAAAGACACCAAATTTTATACTAATCCAATGACTTTTGAGAATTGACAACAGCTGTGACTGAAGTGAGATGCAATTTTATTTTATTTTTTTATTTTTATTTTTTTTCATCAACACTCATTATTGTCTTTATTTTAACCATCCTAGTGGGTATGAAGTGGTAGCTCATTGTGGTTTTGATTTTTGTGAGATGCAATTTTAAACAGCAACATATTAACATAATAAAAGCATACCTGATTTACAAAGAAAAATATTCAAGACTGAAACACAATGCGTTTAAACAGCTGTAAATATCTGCTACTCTGAACGTTTTAAATTTACTGACATGGAGTTTTATAAACATAGGACATTTAACCTGTTGTTTTCAAGTGACTCCAAAGTTTAAAACATGCAAACATTAAAATCCATAGAAAAATATAAAAATTCCTTTTTTAAAGATGGATAAACTGATTTATAGAATCTCTTTCTTACATATTTCTATACACATAACTAACCAAAAGAACTTAGGATTCAGTTTTGGCATACTCTCTCACCGCTACATCTATGCTCTCTATGTAGGAGATCATGTGAATTTCTGTATCACACAGGGACTCTGCTCTGAGGATCAGTCTAAATTTCTAATTTCTTGGTTTTCTCTGGCCATCTTCTTCTGGAAATCCTACAGGTATCTCAAAACTCAATATGTACAAAGTTCAAATTTTCTTCATACTAAAATAACTTTTTAGCTTTCTTAAATATTTCTATTAATGAAACTACCATCTTCCCAATCACCCCAGTCAATCATTTGACTCCTAACTCTCCCATACTCCTTCAAATCGTCTTGTATGTATTCCTCTCATTTCCTGCTAAAGCAGCCTTGATACGAACTTGCGTTACTTTCCATCTAGTCTAGTGTCCTAACTGGGCTTTTGCTTCCAGATTCTCCTGCCACCAATTTATCCCATACACACAGAGGCCCAAAGTCAGTGCCCCAGAATCCTGGTGCTTTACTCCATCTTGAACCTTTCCCACAACCCTTGCACTTCCCATCAACATTTAAACATTACAGCTCAATTTAATCTATTTTAAAAAGAAACCTCATAAAAACCAACTTCCCTTTCAGCTTCAGTATTTTCTCTCTCTCTATCCCCACAGCCATTTCCTAAGGGATGTTTACGATTGCTAACTTGCTCATGTTAAAATGGCTGATGTCCTAACTTGTCACTTAAGCCTATGACTGCTTCTCAGTCCTTCTCTTACTTGACCTCCCAAGAGCATCTGCTGCTGTAGATCACCTTCCTCTCCTTCTTAGATATTATCTTCCCTGGATTTTTAAGAAATTCCCCACTTCCTGCTTTTGTCTGTACCTTTTTGTCTTCATTTTCTCAGTCCCTACATAAGCTCCCCTTTCTCTGACCATTTACTTTGATGCTGGCATTCTGTAAGTTACTTACTTGGGCTTTCTCATTTCACTCTATCTCCTTAAAACACCTTTCTTATTGCTATGATTGCCATGGTTTCATTCATTTTTTTTCCCAGTAACTCTCAGGGGACAGGAGGAGCAGATAATTAGAAACACAGGAGAAAGGCTTTTAGAACCTACATATATCAGTAGAACCTATATATTATCAGCAGAACTTATGTAAGTCAGACCTGCAGATTTGACACTGTTCCTTCCATCTCACTTTACCTCTCACCGTTACTAATGGAGCAGAGAAAAAGAATAAGAACCAATGTTCTAAACACTCATGATTCCAAAATCTGTATTTTCTAGTCACCTGTCTCTCATGGACCTCAGACTTCCATATCCAATCTCCCACTGGACATTTCTACTCTTCCACATAAAAATCTCCCACTGGACATTCCTACTCAAAACTGCTGAATGGACACAACAAATTAAAATATTTCCAAAACTAAATTTATTGTCCTATCTGTTCTTCTCAATGAATAATATTATCTGCCCAACTATCCACAGCAGAAACTTAGTGTCTAATTTCACCCCCTCCATTACGCCCACTCTAAGCCTCACAATTCAGTAAGTTACAAGTGTTGTCAATTTTTACCACTAAACTTAAATCTTTTCACTTCCCACCATTATTACCCTAGTCCACCTACTATCACCTCCATTCTAGAGTTCTTCAAATGCCTTTAATTTGCCTCTTATTTCCTTCCACATTCCTTACTTCCTATGTTCCAATCACAAAGTTATTTCAGTTTCTTAAAAGCATCATAGATAGGATGCATGTGTTTTATCTATCCCCTTTCTCGAACAATGACTTATCCTACATCTCCAAAGCATATCAAGTGGAAGCACCCTTCATTTAGTGTTGGTGATGTTTACAGTGCAAGTTGCAGTTTCTTTGCCCAGTGGTACTGTCACAGGATCAGTTCTGAAACAAGATTTTTGGTCTTATTCCTGCTTCTTAAGACTGGTTCACTGGCCCTTTTGGAGAATCTTTGAGCTATCCTATATCCTTTTTTACTTTAATATGTTCTGTATCTTATGGTTCACTGAGAGAGACAGTGATATGTTTTTCCTCCAGTAATTGAGATGGGTTTGCACCAACTCATGAGTATCCTCTCAGATTTCCATTCACTGTTATTTAAAAAGAGGGTGTTAAAAACACAGAAGCTAGTTCCTCTTGGTATATAATCAGGAAATGTGTCCAACAGTTGTATGCACTGTGTTTTTCCTCCAATATCCTTTTAATACATTTTCTACTTAAAATTGTCAGCACTGGTTTTGTTGACTGCAAATGGAAAGCTACGCAACCTTTCCTCCTACCTATATCCAATCACAGCAGCATTTATCAAGTTTTCCACCTCCTTCAAAATCTGGAAAGAACAGTTACAAGGCTTCTAGGTCACTTTCACGTTAGTAATTTCAAGGTATTAAAGGGCTTAAAATTTTTTCATTTGTTTAATAATGTTAATTCCCCATGAAGATTTAAAGTATTAAACATAAAAGTATAATTATTATATAATAGGCTATGACAAACTTAAATTAAGGCCATCTACAGGCTATTAGAAATGTGTAATAATTAATTATATAATTAACAATATTATAAGCTTTTTATGTATCTGTCACCAACCAGGACAGTAAATTTGAAACAGAAATATGGAATATGAGAACATATGGATAAAGGAGAGAGAGGACTGAAAAATGATAAGGAAACAGAAGTATAGGCAAGCCTCAATTTAAATGGGTTGCTAAATCAGTTGTTTGGTACATAAAGACAATGTTACTAATGGAAAATATACTACTAAGACAGTTCACAAAAATAGTACATGAAGTATCTAAAGAACAGTACTAAAATAATAACTATTGCACAATGACACTCTGAGAAAGGTCTTAATTTCTAAGTAGGTGTGAAAGACATTTCTCTCTCAATTTGGCCACTTCCTATTACTTGTAACTACATTCATGAAGAGGTGAAATTACCATTAATTCCAACTTCTACATGGTAAGATTTATACAAAAGGAAATTGATCCCTCTTCCCTCTCTCGATCACAATCAGAAATTGGACTGGCATTAGAGTGGGTCTAATATATATTGATCTGTATGACATATATTTATGCCACTCCAAAGCATCAAGGCAAGAAAGAGATGCCTTGAAGTGGGAATTCCCAGTAAGAGCAAGGAGTACTGGTATGATGAAAAGAAAGTAGTAAGTGCTAAATAGTGACCCAAAGAAAGAAAGAGAGGGTTTCTCCCAAGTGGGAGAGAGATTCAAGAGAGAGGTAAACATTATAAACAGCTACAATTTTATGTAGCTACTTTTCAATTAAAAGCAATCTGTATATTCCTCACACAGAAACTGTTAAAAAAAAAACCAAAAAACCTTTTTTTCTGTTATTGCTAATGAAAGTTATTGAAATATGTCAAGGAGAAGCATAAGGGAAAATGATTATCAGTTTTCCCTTATCTTTTGGTCTCCCACAGGAGAAAAGATAATATGTGTTTCCCTATGTGTGGTATAGGTGGATGCTTTTATTCTACCATCTAAGAGGGAAAGGAATTTCCCAAAAGTACATATTTTCTCAGGCAGATTTTATTTTTTATATTTTGTATCATTTGTAGTCTTACTGGGTTCATTTAACCTCTCGAGAGTAATGCTTTAATTCCTAAATATAGATTCTTTCCTATTTCAGATAATGAAATTATCTGTACAAACTTGTGCTAGATATGTAATTTCTTTTAGTTTTACTTATGACATATTAAAATTTGATATTAGTTTGCTTATAATATGTTTTAAGCAAAAGGAATTATGTGTTAAGTGACTCATTATCTTTTATAATTTTCTTAGAGGAGACAAGACTTTTTGATAAAATTTCTAGAAGACAGAGTTTAGATTGAAACAGTCACAAGCCAGGGTAGCAAAAGAGCTCCGCTAAAGTGTAAACTGATAAGAAGGTTCAGAAGAGGGAGGATGTTCACATTAATTTGAAAGCTGTAGCATTTGCTACAGATAATATCTGACATAGGGAAGTGAGGAATTACCAGACATAACAGAAAATATTGCATGAGCTAATAAAAATGTATCTTTTCCCCTAACTACATCAATTAACTTTTTAAATCCCATTTTCTTTCCAAACTTTCTTTGCTGTCTTACCTAGTAAGAATAAAAAATCATGCGTCATAACATGTGAATAAAGCTCAACTTACTTAAACAAGTAACAACCAGTGCCTAATGTGACTTAGTCAGCTTGTGATTACTTATACTTTGTGTTTTTATTTGTTCACTGGAAGCTAACAGATTCTGAAAATCTTCCTTGAATGTTTGAAGAACTTTTGTGATGAAGGTATAGGGAACATTTTAATTCAAATTCACTGTACTGACATTGCTTCTATGTCCTCTTTGAGATCACAGGACAACTTTTAAGATGGTTGCCTCCTCCCCTGACACATCTTTTATCCCTCACTCAACCCCAATAAATGCAGGACCAACTATTCTTTATAAATGTTTTCCACTCTTGCTATTATGAAAATCATGAGAAGAAAATCATTACAGTAATCACAATACCTCTGGGTGGCAAATCCATATCCCCTGATGTTAGTCCTATCAAGTTAGGCCTCTGTGCATGTACTCTATGTCTATACATAGGTCTGGAAGTGTTTGTTATGCTGGGAGCTTCAGGATTGTAGCCATCTGTGTCATATGTATCTGGTAACACAAAAACTGTAATTAAAAAACAATTATAAAACTCCACTTGGTAATTTTTTCACATTAATAACAAAAAGTAAGCTATATATTACTAATATATTATATATAACTAACATGTTTTATACATATCAAAAAGCAAACTAAGTTATTAAAAAGAAAATAACAGTTTTTTAAAAACTTATACCTGAGGGCTTACATTTAATGTACATTCACTGTACTGACACTGCTTCTATATTTTAGTGAACCAAAAAAGTCATGACTGAGCAATTCAGTCTCTGGACATTTTTAAATTCCTCATCTAAAACTCTGCTCTAAAACTATATCACATTATGAATATAGAGAGGGCTAAAACTGCACCTGCAGTAAAAAGAGACGGTGGAGCAGGAGGAGGCTGGTGATGAATGCCAGTTGTTACTACAGTAGGAACAGAACTGGTTGCAGAGTTTGGGGGAGCATCCATGCCAGATGGCTGCAAAGGAGGAAGTGGAGGTGGTGGTCCTGTCAAAACCAAAGAATAAGAAATATCATCTGAAAGCAAACAAATAAAATAAGTTATTATACATCCCATCACAATAGTCTTAATTATCAAACTATAATATCTGCAAACACCAAGCTCTTAACCCCTAAATTAGTTTTCTAGGGTAAAATATCCCTTTAATGTACTCCAAAACAGGTTTGCCTTATGCTATAAAGGACTGCAGGTAGCTGAGGTTTATCACTTGCATACACGATTCACAGGGCCACTCCAAACCACAGTAACTGATTTGGTATAGGATCCAAAGTATATTCCAAATGGGAGTATACAGCTCTTAGTTTCTATCAGGCATCTATGGGATTACTTTAGATACTTTTAACAAAAGCAGCTTCAAATTATTAACTTTATAAAAAGACTATACATGAATAGATAATAAATACAGGCAAGCAAACATATTTACTTACCTGTGACAGGTGGGAGACTAGGTGGTAATGGACCTGGAGGTGGCACTGGGGGTCTAAGATTCACAGGTGGGGGTGTAAGAATTGGTGGAGGTGGGGGCAGTCCAGGAGGAGGTGGTCCTTCAACAACAGGAGGCTGTGCTGGGAAAGGCAGCATACCAGGAAGATTCACATCTTCTACAACTACTGGATCACTTCCATGATCAAAAGGACACATGTCTCCTCTCATACAAAAACCTTTTTCTGTAAGGAAAGAAAAGTTAAAAAGAAATGTGAAAATATAAATTTTCTCTAGGTTAACAAAAATAAGATATATAAAAAAGGAATATTTTAAATATTGGACAAAAGTATAATTAACCACTTCGCAAGAGCTACCTGCTCATTTCCAGTAATATCAATACTTACCAAGTGAAAATATAGCTTACACAATAAAAAAAAAAAAATCACCAAATATGTAAACCTAGCTAGCAAGATGATATAAAATGTATATGTAACTTGTCATTTTTGTCATTAGAAGCCTTATCCTTCATTTAAATCTCTAACGAACTAAAAAAATACTGCAATTATGGCTTTAATGCTACTTATAAAACTTTTAGCGTAAATTCTTAAAATTGCTGATTTTTTAATAATATTCTTACATTAAGTGATATTTACATTTCCTAATCTTATATACCAATAATCATTTATTTCTAAAGAAGTGAGTTTTGTCAAGAATGTTTCAGTAGTAGTTATTCCCTGATAACTCAGTACTTACTCTTGTTTGGAAAACTCCAACAACATATTAATACTTATATGCAAATAAAACTATCTTTAAATTGATACCAAATAGTAAGTTTGACAAATGAAGGTTTCAATAATACTGAGGAATTCATGAAGTGATTAAGACTAATTTCCCACTATTTCATTATCAGAGAGAAATCTTTGAATAACATTGTACAAGCTAAACTTATGATATTTAAGCAGCTCCCAATATTAATTCAATACTTCATGAAACAGTTGAAAGACTTACCATCATAGTCTCTACACCGTTTCTTTGGCATTGGTGGTCTTACGTAAGAGTTATGGTCCACCTGGTCTTCATGAAATTCAGACCAACTTTCGGTAGTGTTATTACCATGATGAGTAGGAGCGATTACTGTAATAGTGCTGCTCAGAGTAGGTACAGGATAGTGGCCAGATGAAATGTTAGGTACCGAAGAGACTGGAGTATAATTATTTTCTAGTGGATCTGTTCTATCCAGGTCATATTTAGGTTTTACCAGATCCCTTTCTGCAACAAAATATAAGTGACTTATAAAACTATACCCTATTGAAAAAAAAACATGTCCCAGATCTAACAATTAGTGATTTTTCGGCTAAACATAGGGAAATGGTCTAAATTGTGCACAATCTTCCTTTTCTCTTAAAAACTACTCAATTAATATACGATGTTCCAAGTTAAGCTATTTCTTTTCAGTATTAACCTAAACTATAAAATCACACATAAAACTGCTGTACTTAATAAGATTTTCCTTGGGATTTTGTTTATACAGAAAAGGAATTTTTTACTTTCATCACAATCTTAGTATGCATAATTGCAGCCACAAAACAAAACATATAAGTATGGTTATTTTTCCTATGAACGTTTTGTTGTCATCTACCTAAAGATCTTACGATGGCTTTTTACAATGAACACTATTTATTAAGATGAGAATGGATGAGCAAAGAAGAAGAAAAAGGAGTTCATACTAAACATGAATAAAGTAACTAACTAGGCTATACAGGGTCCCAAGGAAGGAGAAAAGATATGAAGAAAATCAGTTAAGTGAGGCCATGTGCAAAGAGGCCTAGTACACTTAGATCACAGAAGGGGAAAAAACACTAAGAGTAAGAATATGGGGCTTATACAAAAGCCATAAATAGTATTATGAGTAACAAATATCGAAGTTTAAGTAATGGTGTTTTACTCAAAAATGTTTTCAATATTTTACTTTAATAACTTCCTTTCAATAACACACATTGGAAGAAACATTATACATGTTGTAAATGACTTGCTCTTGCAAATATATACATCTGATATAAAATTTAACAATTTTTATAGTTTTGAGGTATAACTGATATGTAATAAACTGAACATATTTAAAATGCACAATTTAATGAACTTTGATTTACACATACACCTATGAAACCAACACCACAGTCGAAATGAGGAACATACTCATCACCCCCAAAAGCATCCTCATGCCCCTGTGTTATCTGTAATTCATCCCTCCTTTACTCCATCTCAGGCAACCACTGATTTGCTGTTTGTCATTATAGATTAGTTTACACTTTCTAAGATTTTATATATATACTTTTGTCCAGCTTCTTTCACTCAGCATAATTATTTTGAGATTTATCCATTTTGTTGCATGTATCAATGGTTCTTTCCTTTCTATCCATGTTATGGTACAGATATACCACGATGTGTTTAATCATTCATCTGTTGATGGATATTTGGGCTATTACAAATAAAGTTGCCATGAACATCGGTATACCAGTCTTTCTGTGAACATACGCTTTCATTTCTTTTAGGTAAATACCTAGAATAGTCATTTGCTAGGTTTAGATTTAACATTTAAAGACATTGCCAAAGTGTTTTCCAAAGTTTCAGTTTATCCACACTCTTACCAACACTGAATATAGTCAATCTTTTTCATTGTAGCCATCTTATTGAATGTGCAGTGGTAATTAACTGTGGTTTTAATTTGCATGGAACAAAATTTTTTGAAGAAATTTTTAAAAAGCATTCAATTGAACCACAGAATACATCATAATAGAAAAAATGAAGACAACACTGACAAAATGTTAAACAATTTGTAAAAACCCTTAATATAAAGTTTTTTCACAATAAAAGAATGCTAACCAAAATATACATATATGTGTTATTTACCCCTGCTTCGTGTTCTGCTTCTGCTTCTAGTCCTGCTTCTATCTCTATCCCTGTCACGAAGCCTCTCTTTACTCCAACTCCGACTCCGACTCCTGCTGTAACTGCGACTTCGTCCTCGTCTTCTATTGTACCGGTCTCTGTATGAATCTCTTCGGGGAGGGTTTCGATCATAATCTCTTTTGCGAGAACGATCATCTTTTTTCCTCTCATCACGACTTCTAAAGAAATATATGATCACTTCTACATAAATAATTTTTAAGTGGACACAAGAAAAAACTCTAATACAAAAGTTGTATTTAATTCTTATAACAATTTTTTATCCCACTGTCAGAATATAAACATAGCAAACTCAAACCAGTGAAGAAACTGAGTTTAAGTACTGTAAGACCGTTTTAAAAGAAACTCCTTTAAAGTCTTAATCCTTAGTCTTACACATATCAGCATCTATACAATTAGGCATCTATACATAAAGTCATCTATACATGTCTTATAGCACATATACAATCATGTGCTATCAATAATGAACTGCATATACAATGGTAACTATACCACACAGCCTGCTTTACACCTAGGCTATACCATCTAGGTTTGTGTAACACTTTATAAATTGCCTAATGACACATTTCTGAGAACACATTCCCTTCAGTAAGAGATGCATGACTGACTGTCTTGTACACATAGTCTCATACTTAAAGGCATGTATTACATGCCCTGTACTCTAAACCCTTTTGATGCCTTAATAGGAAAACACTTTAATCACACTAAAGGGAAACTACAGGCCAAAAAAAAAAAAAAGTCTCATATTAAGATTATACTGGAATCTGAAGTCAGAAATAAAACAATAACAACAACAACTAGTATATATCAAGTACTGTTCTTAATCTCACTCCCAAGACCTACAAATCTGAACTAGATTTTCTTGGTAGAAAGGGACCTAGTTACACTCTCCTAGACCAACAAAAAAGTAGGTATTACTTGGCCATATATAAAAGATAACCAAAGTCTAAACACTGAGTATGGTTCAATGAACCACTCACCTATTTTCTCTGTATCGGGAGCTTGACTGAGGAGGACTGTGATTTAGCCTTCTAGAAAATTTTTTCTCTCGTTCTTCCTCCTTTGTGATCTTATATATAAAAAAGAAAATGTGTACAAGTTTAGCAACAGTTATTCCTTGCCACATTACTACTTCAATACAATATTAAAATAAATTTGTATAATATCAGAGCAAAATTGTCATCTACTAAGCAAAATAAATTCACTAAGTACAACTATTTAGTTTAACTCTTATAAAAGACAGTCTGCTGAAAATTAAAGTGAATGGTAAAGAAACTCATAACATAGAGCACGGCCTTGTAACACTAAGGTCAAGTCCAGTTCCCCATACTGGCCAGCCACCAAAAAAAAAAAAAGAAAGAAAGAACCTCATAAATGCTTATCTTGGATAATGGTGAGAAAACATTTTAAGCAAATACCGTCTTTTTAAAATAAATAATGAAAAGTCAATTTAATTCCTTCTTTTAAAAGTCTAACATTTATTTATGTTTCGGTTTCATGGATTTGGTCTGACACCAAACACATCAAGGAATATAGGAGAATGCATTAGAACTAACCAAGTCATAAAAAAGAGAATATTTGAGAAAATAATACATAAGGTAAAACAGTTTTCTAGTTCCTCATAGCTGCATGCTACCTATATATTCCTGTGTCTTACAAGAGGCCTTCATTCATATTATATAACTACCAGAAAGTAACCCTGGAAAACATTCCCCTGATCAGTGCTATTTTCTCCTGACTGTACTGCCCAGAACATTGGTTCTACAGAACATTAATAGAATGTGATTAGAAAAAAAGAATTTAGAGGTTAAACAAATTCAGAAAACATTGAATAAGAAGCCCTTAAATATTAGGGCTTAAGATATTCTGATGCAGGGAGTCTACAGATATGTATACATGGCTCAGTTTACGCCAGCTGTTCCAGCACCCCTTTTAAATTAAATGGCCACTCTATTAACAAACTAAGCCAAGAGAAACACTCATTACAGCCTTCTTTCAAGCCTGCCTTTATTTCTCCAAGTACTTTTGGTCTCTTACCACCCATTCCAACTCTCCTCTCAACCCAGATAAAAAACTGGGTACTAATACAACCCTCCTGGTGAACTTTTTGCCTTCTGTTTATTTCAATGCACTCTTGCGAGTAATTTTTGAGTAATTCCGTAGTACACGCCCATCTGGGAAATTTTAGTTTTAAACCCAGACTGCCACCTGGCATTTTGACAATTCTGAAAGATCGGTGATAAACACCTGCAACAACTGGTCAAGAAAACCAATGAAATATTACTGCATCAATAGATGTAAGATTAAAGCTTTGCCACTAACTTACTTTGGGGGAAGACTGCTTCTCAAACCAAGGGCCCATGATTTACTCAATATTTTTTGAGAATCAAAATGTAATTTGTAATATCATAAATCTGAAACCACCCAAACTTCCATCAGTGGGCAAAACTTAAACAAAATATTGTATATTTCTATGTGGCATATGCAATTGCCAACACAATATCCACTATCCCTTTCTTCTTTACTAACAGAACCCCTATACTGCTAGGTATGAAATATGCTCAGTTATAAAATTGCATTTCTGGACTTCCCCTGCAGATATAACTGATTAGGATGTTATGTGTGTGTGTTAATAAAAANCAACTGGTCAAGAAAACCAATGAAATATTACTGCATCAATAGATGTAAGATTAAAGCTTTGCCACTAACTTACTTTGGGGGAAGACTGCTTCTCAAACCAAGGGCCCATGATTTACTCAATATTTTTTGAGAATCAAAATGTAATTTGTAAAACAACTGGTCAAGAAAACCAATGAAATATTACTGCATCAATAGATGTAAGATTAAAGCTTTGTCACTAACTTACTTTGGGGGAAGACTGCTTCTCAAACCAAGGGCCCATGATTTACTCAATATTTTTTGAGAATCAAAATGTAATTTGTAATATCATAAATCTGAAACCACCCAAACTTCCATCAGTGGGCAAAACTTAAACAAAATATTGTATATTTCTATGTGGCATATGCAATTGCCAACACAATATCCACTATCCCTTTCTTCTTTACTAACAGAACCCCTATACTGCTAGGTATGAAATATGCTCAGTTATAAAATTGCATTTCTGGACTTCCCCTGCAGATATAACTGATTAGGATGTTATGTGTGTGTGTTAATAAAAATATAAACATACATATTTACTGAGAACCTACCATGTGCCACTCACTACACCAAGTGCTTTATCTACTTTATTTTACTTATTCCTCACAACAACCCTGTAATATTTCCATTTCACAGCTGAGTGAATTGAAACTCAGAAAAGTAATGTTTTCAAGGTCGTGACTTATAGAGCCAAAATTTTAACCAAGATTTGTTTGACCTAAAGGTACACCAAATGCAGAAATGTAATAGCTTAACTGCCAAAAACTATTTTTGCTGCTATTACAATCTTTAAATATCAAACTGAGAAGATCTGAATTATATTACTTAAATAAGGGTGAATAGAAAAGATTACAAAATACAGATTTCAAAAAAATTTCTAAATCTCTTGAAGTATCATGTCATTTCCATTGCCCTTTGAAAGTCCTTGTGTTTGACTATCTTCTGTCCCTTCTGTCATACATACATAAATGCATGTATAACAGAAGCAAACAAATCTACTAGAGATCTAACTATTTTCATTTTCATAGAACACAGATAGTAAGACTCCAATAAGTCTATAAGATACTGTATAGAAGAGTTAAAAGTAGACCTGCTATCCACAGAAAGGCCTGCTTGTAAAGCTGGACCTTGGCTGGCTTCTGGGAACTCTGATTTCTGGAGGGATCCCATCATTCATTCCCTGATAAGAATGGTTCACTGTGCCTGAATTGTTTGTGAAAACAATATGACTTATGCTGAACACCTGCTCTCTTCCCTGGGAGTCTAGAATTTTAGTACATACTAGATAGAGGGTGCCTCTGTGACCAGCCCCAAATAAAAACCCTGGACAGAGTCTCCAATGATCTTCCCTGACTCATATGTGTTGTCACATTCCTTACTAGGGGAATTAAGCACATTGTATGTGACAACAAGGACACTGAAAGCTTGTGCTTGTTTTCCACCAGACTTCACCTCATACACCTTTGCCATTTGCTGACCTTGCTTTGTACTCTTTTGCTGTAATAAGTCATGGCCATGAGTATGACTATATGCTGAATCCTACGAGTGCTCCTAGTGAAATCATCAAACCTGAGGGTTGTCCTGAGAAGGCCCAACACAAAGACACAGAACATGAAACTCAGTCTAATTATTCCTCGTATGTGTTAAGAATCTGAAAGGTATAACACAAATCCTTACCTCTTCTTTTTTTATATCTTTTTCTTGGTGCTGAAAAAATTCTACCTTCAGGCTTCCTGATGATGGCTGCTCTGGAGGAGGTAGATAACTCTTTGTATTCACAGCATCAAAAAGTTTTTCCACAAATATCTGTGTCTCTAAAAATAAACCCCCCCCCAAAACAAATTAAAAGATATTTGCTAAAATATTCATTCTTCACTTCTACACATTAAACCTCTAATATAACGAAATACACCTTGACCTTTATAAATCTAGAAATTATACTAAGACAACAGCTTCCTAACCAGTGTGCCATGGCAATACTGCTTCATTCCATTTTCAGGATGGTGGGAGTTGGAAAGAGCCTCTGGGCCAGCTGCTTCCAGCCATGACTGGAAGTCATGTGTGTAAGTCTTCTTCATGTAGCCCACCCAGTGTTACAAACAGAAATGTTATCATTATCTAAGATGAGGACAAAGTGCAAAAAGCTGGAAAGCAATGTGCTAGACAAGTTTTAAAGTAGTTTCCTGAGAGGTACTATTTTTAAATAAATAAGCATTTGGTCACTTTTAATCTTTTAGCCTATGTAAGAAAAAATATCAGCATGCTTTATGCTTTAAGAATGAGCATAAGAACATTCATGAGAGAAGGCTTCCATTTTAAATAAGCTATGGAAATAATCACTAATAACACTATTTGTTCAACTTTGTTAAAATTAGAGCCTGTCTCTCAATGAGTTCCTTTAATACTCTGGATAATCTTATTTTAAATACCATTAAAGTAGTATTTTTAAATGAAGGATCTTACCTTTCTGAAGAAATACATCCAGCTGATCAATACATAATGCCTTTAACTCTTTCTCACTTTTGTCTTTCTTTACCAAAGCCAGAACATATTTTGCTAGGGCTGATGGATCTGCATCACAGCTAAAGAAAATAGCAATGTTTAAGGAAATTTAGTCATAAACAACTGCACATCCTATAAATTCCAGTTACAAACTGACTTAGCAGGTATGATAGTTAAGTGATTTAATATATGTAAGAAGCACCTGGCTCAGAGAAAGTATAAGGAAATGTAAGTTCTTCTCCTTATATTAACATGCTTTACATGCTATATGTAGCCATCATTTCTTAAAAACATACTACACAGCATATTAAATAGCAGAAAAGAAAGTCTAGAAATAGATCCAAATACATTAGGAATTTTAGATTTTATGAAAGTGGTATCCAAATCAAAACAGAAGAGATGAACTATGCAATAAATTGTATTGAGACAACTTGGCAGTTATCTTTTAAAAAAAAAACTAATAACTTGGATACATAATTTATTCCATATACCACAATAAATATATAACTGCAAAAACATAAAACCGTTAAAGCATTACAGGAAAACAGGAGTTATTTTATAACTCTGGAGCAAGGAAAATATAAAATTCATGTATCACAAAAGGGTAATTTGATTTTGATTATGATAAAAATATCAAAATCTTCAGAATGACAAGAATCAAAAGACAAATGGAAAAAAAGTTCAAACAGTTTAACTAATCACAAAAAGGTCAATTCCCCTAACATGTAGAGTTTCTATCAAGACTAACATCATAAGAGAAAAAAAGACAAAAAATATGAATAGATACTTAAAAAAATATATAAAAGTGATTCTTAAACATGGGTAAAAATTCAACTTCACCCATGAGAGAAATACAAACTTAAGCTACAATGAAATATCATTTTTCAGTTATCAGTCTGGCAAAATCTAAAAACATAAAAATATATTCTGGAGGCAAGACTGAGGAAGCAAGCAGTTTTCATACACTGAGCTGGTGTGCGTAAACTGGTATCCCCCAGAGAGAGAATCCTGGCAGTACCAAGGTCACAAATACAATCTGACTCAGAAATTCTATGAATTTATTCTACAGATATACTTACATGTTGAAAATGACGTGTACAGTTACTCACTGTCATATTGACTGTAAAATCAAAAATGTGCAAATGTCCATTTACAGAATGTCCACTGATAAACTGGAAAAAATTATATTAAATCCACAAAAGGGAATGATATGCAGCAAAAGGTCAGAAAAAGAGTGACAAAGTTTTCATATCTCAGAGAAATTTTCATATCCATTTGTTGAATTTAAAGAGCAAGGTAGAAAACATTTTTTAAATAAATTAAATAAATTAAAAAATAAAAAGCAAGGTAGAAAAAAGGTTTGTATAGCATGTTACCATTTGCGTAAGGAGAAGAGAAGAAATTATATATTTGAATCAGCTTATCTTTGAGTAATACATATGCAAAAGGATAAGTAAATAACTAATAAACTATGGTACTTGTATTGAGGGGAGAAGAGGATGATAGTGGGAACTAAAAGAAGAAACAAGGTCATAAGGAAAAGTTTTTGATGCCTGAACCATGTTCATCAAATTAAAAAACCAAATAATTGTTTTTTAACTAAGCTAAAAGATCATTTTACAAGTTAGAGAAAATAACAATAAAATAATGGCAACAGTTAACCACTAACATTTACTGAACACCTAGTTTGTGCCATGAATTGTGCTAACTTTACATGTTATTGAACTCTCATTTTTCTGATAAAGAAACAAGGCTCTGAAAAAAGTTAAGATTGCCCAAGACTACACAGCAAGTAAGTAGAAGAGCCAAGATTTAAACCTAAACCTCATACTCCAAAGTCCACACTCTTTCTTACAATGAGGTGCCCAGACTTCCAATTTACTTAATGCTATGATCACCTAGAGTCACAACCACTAAATCCCTACTCCTTTTAAAAGCCTTCCACATGCCTCTACCTCCCTATATCCTTAGCTGCTGCCAAAGATACAGTTCTTGTAACTCACTTCCTCCTGTTCTCTCCCCATTCCAGAAGCTTTCCATTATTTCGAGCAGCCTCTAAACAATTCCTTTACCATCTATGCCTCACTTTCCTCCCAACATCCTTATATCTCACCAGCTTGGCAAAATCCCAACCTAGAATCAACCCCCTAGCCTAGATTTCTCCGAACAATTCCTTTACCATCTATGCCTCACTTTCCTCCCAACATCCTTATATCTCACCAGCTTGACAAAATCCCAACCTAGAATCAACCCCCTAGCCTAGATTTCTCCGTTTTTTTTTTTTGAGGCTGGCTGGCAAGGGAATCCAAACCCTCGACCTCAGTGCTATAAGCACTATGCTCCAACCCAGTAAGCAACAGGCCAGTCTCCAGCTTAGATTTAATTCCACAGCTTGGTAGTATAAAAACAATGGCTTAACTTTACACCAATAACATAAATGACGGTCAGTAAATCAGATTTCCAAGGACACTGATGACACAAAAAGTTTAACAATAATGGCTTTTTTAAAAGGTATTAGGGAATCACAGTGGGGAAAGATGACTACAAATGGGGACAAAGATAATAGTTCATCTGAGGAAAAACAGATACATACATGATACATCTGACACGACGTCCTTCAATTAATTTTTATTCCTATTTATTTTAACAGCTATTAGCAATTTTTAACTCTTAACAATAAACACAAAAAAGATTCCATATGTACTACCTAAAGTTCAAATGCTAAAATATTAATAACATAACCTGTACACATTAAAGCTAGAAAATACCACAAGACATATAACAGAACATCTCAATTCCCGTAAGTATATATTTGGAATATATTACATAATAGCTCTAAAACAGTATAGCAGTAACATACAAGGGTACTTCAAAAAGTTCATAGAAAAAATAGAATTAAAAATACAAATGTTTCCATGAGCTTTTTGAAGTATCCTCGTATGTACCTGAATCAAATCTATATCTTAAAGACAGCTGGACAGCTTTGGTTGCACAGTACAATCTCCTATGGATAAAAAATGACTGAAAGTGAATCAACTGACATAAACAAAGGTGGACCTAATTTGACCATCTTTATTTTGATTCATTGTTTTAAAAAGGCTGTACAGGTAAGTGATACAGTGTCAGAGCTGCGATCTACTCTACTTAAAAAATTTATCATATATGCTACAAGACTCCCTTTGTCTACATCACTGTGGTGATTTTAAGGAACGTCCTAAAATGCTTCACTCCTCCCTTCAAGAAAGTAAAGCTTAATTCCCCATCCCTTGAGAGTAGACTCAATTTAGTGTCTTGCTTCTAACAAACAAAATATGGCAGAAGCGATGGTGTGTCTGACTTCTGAGACTAGGTCGTAAAAGGCACTGAGGCCACTACCCACCCCCACCCCCATCACTTGTTCTACAGAAATAAGCTGCTATGCTCCAAGGACACTCAAGTAGCTTTATGAAGAACATCATGTGGTAATGAAATGAGGGCTCCAGCCAACAGCTACTGAGGAACTCAGGCTTCTTGCCAATAGCCTGAGTGGGACTGGAAGCTGATTTGACAGACCCAGCAGAACACTGGGGACCACAGCAGCCCTGACCAACACCTTGAGTGCAATCTCAGGAGAGACACTGAATCAGAAATTCCCAACTAACCTGCTCCCAAATTCTTGACTCATAGAAACTTGACCCATGTAAATGTCTGCTGTGCTAAGTTTCAGGGTAATTTGTTAGTCATTGATCATAAAGCAACTTTTCTCATACATTTATTTCCATTTATTTACAGACTTGAAGTGAGTTATAACCAAATAAGAGAAAAACCCAGTTCAATGGTAAAGCAGTTTTTAAAACTTTCACTTTTTCTTTCAAAAATTTACTTCAATATACTTATACAAACATTTTCCTTAAAATACAAAATGATTTATAATAAATTTTTTCATGTTTTATCATGAGCATGCAAATACTTAGATCTGTGATAGAGAGGTGGGACAATAACCTCATGATGTATCTAGAGATATATTTACATCTGACAATCCAGTAATATTGCATGAGACCATGAAATAACTTATTCATGTTAGGTAACCTGACTACACAAAATCAGCTAGAAATTAACCTAACTAGCCATCAAGCTAAACATACTTTAGTTTTACAAGAAATCATTAAGATATATATTATTACTACTATGTTATACTGCTTTATTGCAACTGCTATTAATGAATAGTGTCCAAATGCTATAATACATCGTGTACAAATACTATAATATTGGTTTGATTGTGGTGGTGAATTTTCAATTTAATAATGGTTTTTTTTTTTTTTTTTTTGGACCAGTAAGGGGATTGCAACTGCACGGTGTTGTCTGCACCATGCTCAGCCAGTGAGCACCCTGGTCATCCCTTTATAGGATCTGAACCTGTGGCCTAGGCGCTACCAGCACCGCGCTCTCCCGAGTGAGCCACGGGGCCGGCCCTAATAATGGCTTTTCTAATGACTTAACAGTCATTTTTCATTTCTCTCAGCTAAATATCAAATCTATTCTCACGTCATTTTAAACAGGACACTTTAAAAGTGAATTAAACATTAGCAAAAAAACCCATAGAAAGACTTTTGCGATTTTTGTAATTATTATGGTCTATAATTTTATAAAACAGCAAGATAGAATTCCTAAACAATCTTTGCTCAACACCTTCTGTAGGAAGCAATTTGAGTTGAATCAAAAACCAACAATAACCACAACCAGCACAACAAATAAACTACCATTTACAAAAATGCTAAATGACTGAAATAGTCTGAAAGGCAGACGACTTTTTAAAATTTGTTAGAGTTCAAATCATACCGTAAAAGAAAGGTTTATAATTTCACATTTAATAGCAAAACAACTGTATTTCCATCCGGGGACAATTTTGTTAAGTGCTATAAGAAGTCATTCCCTTTTATTTCAAAACAGTTTTAAAAGCGAATTAAAGATATGTACTTGCAAATTACAGCATAGTTAAAAATAACGTGAATCACAGAAGTTTAATAACACATCAAAATGTTATGTTCTCTTTTCCATCTGTCTTAAAGTGCCAGTATTATATTATCTGAACATCTAGCAA